AAACACCTCTTCGGGGTGTGTTTTTGCCCGGGGGGGGGGGGGGGGGGGAGTCCTTGAGGAAGGTGCTATAAAAGCTACCTGTCCCCTTTACAGACCTTTCCTCCCTGCTTCAGGCAAAGCAGGGGGGAGCTGGGTTAGCTGTGCCCACTGGCTTTCAGCCCAGCCTACCTGGCAGAAAGCCTATAACCATCCCACAGCACAGATCCATTCTTCTTCATTTATTTTGTTGTTTGCACAGTCCTGAGTTGAGCAGAGACATATGGGAGGTACTCCCCTCCCCTATTCCCAGCCCTGAAGGTTACATGGTGATAACCTGTACCTTGCTTACGTGGGAACATTGGAGCTTCCTTTGCCCAAGCTGCTGCACTGTGCAGGAGGATGAGCTAAACGCTGCATGGAAGGACTGGAGCCAGGGCTGGTCCTCACCCCAGCATGGCTTTGGCACGGTTGTGGGACCTGGAGCATGGCAGGCTTTTGAGGAGGTTGTGGAGATTCAAACCAGTCCTTGGTCTTGCATCCAGCCTGCTCTGAGGTGCTCCAAGAGAAGGGCATGGCGTGGAGGGGCAGGAGCCAGTGCTGCTCTCAGTGCCAGGCAGGCAGGCTGGTCGGTGGCTGCTGCTGTCCCTGTGCTGGGGCTATAAGTCGGAGTCACAAGGCAGGGTGCTCCTCCAGTGTCGTCCATCTCGCTCGTCTGCCAGCATGTCCCAGGGATTGTGGTAAGCCCCAGTGGTGGAGCACGGCCCAGCCTCCAGCACAGGGCTGGGGGTCAGTTTGGGGGCCCTGCGTTCCTTGCAGCAGTGGTGGAAGCTGAGGGTGAGGGCCAGCCCCCCCAAGATCTCCAGGCAGCTTCCCAAGTAGCTCAGCACCAAGCTGTAGCCTACAACCAGCGTGCTACCAGCTGTTGCGGGCAGTGCCCACAGCTCATGGGTGTACCAGGAGGTAGGCACAAGGCTCAGCAGCCCTGAGAGGAGCAACACCAGCTTTTTTTTCAGGGGCCGTGGCTCCTTCGGCCAGCAGCGACCCCCCAGGGCAGCCACCACCAAGCCCAGGAGGGTGACCACCAGCGAGGTGGGCATCAGCCCTTGGGCCACCCGCACGGGTACCTGCTCAAAGTAGCCCAGCTCATCAGCCTGCCCGCAGCGGCGATCATGGCTGCTCTGCAGCTCTCTGCACATATCCCAGATGCCCTGCTCCAAGATGAAGTCAAGGGGCTGGTCAGGTATGAGGCTCACCTGCCTCCAGTTGGGTGCCAGCGTGCCCGTGAGTGTCAGCAGGAGTCCGCAGGGGCACAGCACCAGCCCCACGA